GCCAGCAGCTGGGAGCAGGTCTGCAGGGCCCTCTTGCGCTCCCACACATTGCTCGATACCATGGATTTCTGCAGGACCTGGGGTAGAGCATCTGTCTCACGGAGGACGTCTTTTCTTTCCCTTTCTGTCACCCCTCTCCCTGCCCCTCCTTTCCCAGCCCTTTCCCCCAGGGCCTCCCACCTCACTGAGCACCCGCACTGCTGCTCCCGCAGCACATACTCACATGGACTATGTTTTGGAAGAAGCCACCGCTGGGCTCTGTCTCCAGCAGGACCACCATGAGCCGGCCCAGAGCTTTCAGTGATGTTTGCTGAAGCTGAAAGCAGAAGAGGGGAGTGACGTGTAGCATCACGGCTGCTGCCAGAGCAGAGGTTGTGTGTGCTGAGGTAGGGTTCCGACCGAGAGGTGGCCGGGAAAGTTACGGCAGGTTACCTGCAGGTACTGTGCTGCTTGCTGTGACTTCCTGATCTTCAGCATCATCTCTGCTGAAGGGTGTGTCACGATGTTCTTGCAGCACAGGACCAACATCTCACGCATGTTTTTGCTTTCGAAAGAGGGCTTCAGCTTGCTGAGAGGAGGAAAAAAGGAAGAGAAATCAGAAAGTGCCTTTACCAGTGCTCTCCAGACTGGGTCAGGCAACCTCTGAGTTTCTCCCAGTCAACAGCTACAAAGCCAATACCCCCACCCAGCTCATGCTGCTGAGCACTGTCTTCAGTTCCAGCAGCGCCCACCTCCTCCCCAGCAGCAGTGAACCACCTCCTGCTCTGGAGGGAAGGAGACCCCAGCTCTCCCTCTCTTCCCTGCCAGGGGACAGGAGCACCAGGGCCTTTCTCCCTGCCCAGAACCTCAGCTTTGCTGGGCACAACAGCCCAGCCGTCTCTCCTGCTGTAGATGTGGCTCCTCCCCCCCTGACCCCTCCAAGCCCTCAGGAGCTACCCAAAATGGGGATCACCATCCTGACTTGCAACCTCAGCACTTACCTCAACTGCTCCAGGGCCAGAACCACCTTGAGAGGCACTGGGGAGACAGGCATGCCCGAGTAATACTTCTTCAGCAGGTCCTGCAAGTCCCAGAGACACACTGTCAAAGTGGGCAAGGGGCACACAAGAGCTGTTCCACCCGGCCCCAAGACAGGCACAACTGCCACACACCAGCCCCATCACTTTCCCATGGAAGCACTGCAGGATGCAGCAGCTGGTGCACCCAGCCCGCTGCCC